CTCAGTAAGCTGAATGGTCTTCCCCCTTCCTCCTGTTCCTACCCATGTGCTGTGCCCTAGCCCCCTGATGGATTTTTAGTGAAGCGCAGAAGCCAGAAGTAACAAACATTCCCTCCTGATGGCTCAAAACTGTGTGTGCTGTCCATACACGGGCAGTGTGATCAAGGTGCTTGCCGTTTCTGGTGGACACTCCAGACCTGCATCTGAGTAGATGCCACTGATCCCTAAGTTTGTGCCTATATTGCTGCTATGCAGGAGTGGGCACTTTGCCTGGGGATTACTGTCCATACTTCCCACCTCCTGGCTCCAGCAGCTTCCCCACTTCCCACCTCCTGGCTCCAGCAGCTTCCCCACTTCCCACCTCCTGGCTCCAGCAGCTTCCCCATTTCCGATGTCATGTAATGGCTCCTGCCTGTACTGGGAAGCTGTGGTAATGGTTCAGGTACTGGGTCCCTCCACCCATATGTGTTTCCTGGGTGGAGATCCTGGTTCCCTGCTCCAGCCTGGCCTATCCCAGCTCATGTGCCCCAGAGTGCAGGCTGCTGGTGTGTGCCCCTAGAATGTAGCTGCTGACATAGTGTAGCCCCTGTGTGTCTGAGTGCAGACTGTTATTTGCATGGCTTAGCAGCAGCATGGGGCACTCAAGTGTCATGTGACTGAGTGGCTTCATGGGCCTTGCATAGTCACCACCGTGAGGCTACATGGGACAGTCACCCTGGGGAAATGGTGTCCGAGCACTGCAATCCCAGTGACTTGTCTGGGTTCTGCACTTGCAGCCTGGTGTGTAAAGCCATCCTTCACTTTAAGAGGATGGCATCTGTGGACTCTTGCTTGTGACTTGGAGCCCACTGCCTAGAGGGAATACAGCCGCTTGTGGCATCTTCCTCAGCAGCATCCCTTGGACAAGGCGTGCTGCAGCTGCTTGGTCTGTGCTGTGTGATCTGGGCGGCGGAATCCCATGCACAGCCCATGGGGCTGCTGTGTTGAGTGTGTAGTCATGGGGGTGGCTGCAGGCTGGGGATTAACCTATTAAGCCACAGGTCCCTCAAAAAATTCATTAGCTGTCACTTTTGAAAGATACTGAACATCCTGGTACAAAAAAAAAACCCAACCATCTTCCCTCTCAAGCCCCTCTCAAGTCCCAAGACAGGTGCATGTCTAGGAAGTTCTGAAATTTGGGAACAACTCTTTTGTCCAGCAGTGGAAACAAAGTAGTGTCAGAATGAACGGAATGACACATGCAGATCTCACAGAATTAGAATGAACTCAAACTGTATCAACTTCTGGTTCTCCAAGTTCTCCAAGGAAACTGTCCTTGCCATGAACTCCTAGGTAAAGGCTCTGAAATCATCGGGCTGCAGCACAGAGAATGGAGTTGGGATGGGCCCGTAAGGAAGTGGCTTCATACGCAGGCAGTGCCTGAGCTGGCTTGGAGCAGAGCAGGTCCTGGAGTGAAAGGAACAGCTGGAATCGAGGTGTTTGCTGTGGGAGTGGCAGAGCTCTTCAGAGAGGATGGTCTGCCTTGCACTTAGCAGTGTGACCTCAGAATGGGCTGTCGCCTGCATCAGAGTTCCTTGTCTGGCCTCTTGGGATTACTCCTCTTCTGTGACTTACTTTTTTTTTTTTTCTGTTTAAAACCAGGAATAAATATAGTTACCTATGTCACAGAGGTGCTGAGTGCAATGGGCAAATAAGATAATGTGGGGAGAACCAGTGTCAGTGCTGAACCTTGGGCAAGAACTGTTGCTTGACCTCCAGTGACATGTTCAGGCAGCCTTAATGGGGAGGGGAGTAGACTCAGGGTGGACTGGGCACCACCATGATGGGCCTCGCCCATCCACTGCCTGGTGGGAACCAAAGCATGAAGTTACCTCTCTTTGGTCCGCATATGCTCCTAGAATTTGTGCAAGCGACAATGTGTTAGTGTTGAGAGGTGGGCATGGCAGGGGACAGAGCCCTGGTGAATAGGGTCTGGGAGCTGGCAGGGGCAGGAGAGCTGGTCAGCCTGCTTGTGAGGACACAGCAGCAGTGTGAGCTGTCCCAGAGCCTGAGCTGTGCAGCCCCAGGAACCATGATCAAGTTCTGCTGTTACACATTATCCCAGCCAGGAGGGAACCCACTGGCCGTGTGAGGGGAGTGTGTGTGGCATCTTGTCTCTGCCTTGCTGTTCTAGGTGATGATTCTCCTTGGTAGGGAAAGAACAAAATCCTGAGCTTTCTAAATCAGTGAATGCCCCTTTTCCATTTCCAAGTTAAGCTGTAGCAATACAAGGTAAAAACTGTTGGAGGGAATATTCTCCAGTTGAAAACTTTGCTGAAGTAGTTAATAATTCTCCCAAAGCCATTTTGTATCTCAGGCCACTAGGGAAAAAGAGGATGGGTAATCAGTGGCTGGGCTTGAACCAGAATAACTGGCAGCTCCCTTGGGGCAGGCTGCTACTAGCCACTCCTGGAAAATTGATTCATCACTCCTTTTGTTTCTGGCCTCGCCTTCCACTGCAAGCACGGAGCCTGACTCGGCACAGGCTGCTTCTCCCAATGAAGGGCTGGGTCCACTGGACAGGAAGGAGGTCCCAAGACTGAAGCTTGGGGCAGAGGGCCTGCTGGTCAAGGAGCAGAACTGCTGTAAAAGTAGCACAGGTTTTCTTTTATCCCATGGTGCAGTGTCACATGGAAGATTGAGAGTGCATCTGAGCAAGCAGGACTTGGCTGTGGCAGAGTTTGGGGGCCTCGCTTGGGTGGAGATGATGGTGCTACCTGCTTCATGGCTGCTGTTAGTTACATCACTGTGCCCCCAAGTGACACAGACATGGAGCAGTGTGGCACAGCTCTGTCACAGCTGAGTGTGTGTCGGCATCTGGTAAGAATAGACAAGCCCTGGATCTGGTAACATTACGAGGGCGGCTGGAGAAGAAGATAGGGATGAAGATAAGGAGGGAGCCACAGTCAACACTCAGCAGGCAGTGGTGCTCCTGGCACACAGCACCTGGCACATAGGAGCTCGCTGAATGGGACCAGGAGGAGGAGGCACACAGAGAGACCCGTCTGGTCCAGGCACTGTCTAGGCCTCCCTGAACTGCAACCCCTGTCCCTTGCTGGATACTCATCACTAGACCACACTGCTCACTCTGTCCTTGCTTACCCATGGCAGGAGTCCCTGGGTCAGCAGAGCCAAGGGTGGATCTTTCTTCACATTGTACGAGATCATCTTGGGCATGGAAAAACCCGAGAGGAGAGCCTGGCAGGGTGGGCCACAGCGGGAGGAGCCTCATTCTCCATATGAGCCTGAGACCTTGGCCCAGGGTTTGGCCAGAACCTCCATGGCATCTTGAAGCCTCTCTCCCAGCCCTGGCACGCATGGGAGCCACTGGGAGGAGTGCAGATGGAGATCTCCATCCTCCCCCACTATTCCCCCAGAAAGCTATGTCTGCACTTCTCCCTGCTCCCATCTTCTGCCTAAAGAAGAGTTGGTTGTTGGGCAGGCATGTAGCACAGTGAGTAAGTGGCCACTGGGCACACCTACAGTCCAAATGGCAATGCAGCTGCAGGTCCTGGCTGCTGCTGGGAAGGCTGTGGACATGAGCCTCCTGCTACATGGGGCTCCTGCTTTCAGCCTGACCCAGCCCCAGTTGTTGTAGGCACATGGGGAGTGAAGCAATGATTGGAATCTCTCCCTCTGTCTGTCACTTTGCCTTTCAAAGTGTTAGAAAGAAGAAGGCCTAAGGGAGGGTGTTGCCTGGTGCTCCTGTCACCTGCTGGTTTTGATGACTCCAGGCAACTTGGGGAAAGGATGTGATTGGAAAGATGCTTCATGTAGTGTCCTGGCTGGGACCTCAGTGAGGGAATAGTTTGCTTGGGTTATTGCAGACTTTTTTCACCCAAGCTTGCTGTCATTTTCATCTTTTGTCTATTACCTGCACTGGTCACTGCACATGGCCATGAACTCCGCTCACAAGGAAAGGGAATGCCATTTCCTGGCAGCACAGTGCCCACCCACGCCCTCAGGTTCAGTGTTTCCAGGCTGCTGTCCTCAGAGCCCATGGCCAGCATAGCTGCCCACACCAGAAGCCCCTTCCCAGTCACCAGCCCTCTGGCCTCTGGGCTGCAGTGGCTGTACCCATGTTGTCCATTTCTGCCCACTGCAGGTGGGAGCTGGGTCCAGGTTTCTGAAACACCCAGCTCAGTCTCTAAACTCTAGTCTCCTCTGAGCCCCTCTCCCTTGGTGCATGGCCTGACCCTGGTGTTCATCCCAGCTTGGGAGAAGCCATGGCCCCTTTGGGGTTCGTCAGGGACTCACACACACCCAAGGGCATTGCACCTCATCTGCTTCCTCTGTCCTGCAGTCCCAGGCCTTTTTGGCCTTGGTAAGCAAGGCAAGGGCTTTATCTGCACTTGGGGTGGGTAGCACTGGCTGCTGCCTTTTATGGATAAAACAGGCTCTGCTCACTTAGCCAAGCTGCAGGCCAAACCAGGTAGGTCAAGAGCCAGGGTCTGGCCCTGCTTTTTCATTCTGAACTGAGCAATGTCTCTGTCCTGGGAACTTCAAGTCCAGGAGCCCAAGCCAGTTCCCAGAGGACACCTCTGGGCTCCTTTCCCTCGCTGTGACCTCCTGGTTCCAAGCTGACCTGAGGAGGCCCTGGAAGTGTGTGATGGGGAGGGAGGCTGGCCTTTCTGTGTTAGTATGAAGATGGCTATTAAATGAACATGACAACTCTGGGAGACTTGAGGAGCCTCTGGAAATTCCAGGTCTTTTCAGTGCCCTGGGGAAGAGTTAACTGAGTTGATTAGCTAGTCCTTGGCTGACAAAGAAAAGAAAAAGCAAATATTTTATTTGGGCAAGACTAATTTTTAAAAAGATTCATTTATCTAAAAAAACAGTTACAGAGAGAGAAGAGGGAAAGACACAGAACGAGATGTCCTATCTGCTGGTTCACTCCCCGAACGGCCACGGCAGCTGGATTGGGCTGAGCCAAAGCCACAAGCCCGGAGCTCCATCTGGGTCTCCCACATGAACAGCAGAGTCTCAAACACTTGAACCATGTTCCACTGCTTTTCCAAGAGCATTGGCAGGGAATGGCTTAACTTACTGCCCTATGACTCACTCTAATTGAGTAAGCTCCTTCCCATGAACTGGAATTGGCTTCCCTATGACTTACTTTGCTGTGGCATTGAATTTGCCTATGGGCTCAGGCTTCTGGATTTGTTCCTTCATGACCATGGTCTGTACCGCTGAGTCTGGCTTAAGTGGCCAATATCCCCCTCTGCAGTGGCTGCCTTGGGCTCCTGACCCCACACTCCTCATACGCACCCTTGTTGCTCTCTGAGTCCCGGCTCCATGTTCATGTCCCGGAATCTTCCTCCCTATGAGCATGTCCTACAGTTGTTCAGCTCCATGAGTCTGAAACTAAACTGGACACTCTGCTGGTTTCTGGCTTGGTGTATGATGAGGTCATCAGTCATGACCTAAGCTTGGAACCCGAGGGTGGCCAACTGTCACATGCCTCAGAGCCATGCTAGCCATGTCAGCTTCTGCCCATGCCATGTGCTTAGACTGAAGGCCCAGGCACCTGCTAACTGTCGTGAAGCTGTAGACAGCTGAAACCAACGCACAAGGCCAGGATGAAGCTGCAGCCATGGGATGGTTCTCAACTGCTACAGAGGCCTTTGTGTGTTAGGAGCTAAACTGTTGATCCTTGGGAGGAAATGGATACTAACAAAACAGAAGTGAAGGAAAGTGTGTGTTTAGTTTGCCCAGCTTCTGTAATTGGCATGGCTTAGCCTGTTGTGTCCAGCATAGCTGCTTGGAGTATTCTGCTGCTTTTGTTCCTGAACGTGACATTCACTGGGCTCAAATCTGAGCAGACCGCAGGCTGATTGGAACCTGGACATGGGGTCAGAACATGCACCCCTGGGCAGCAGGGGGACCTCCTGAGGATGTGCAGTGTGCTGTATATCTGCCCAAACTGGAGCAATCCCTCCTCTGACATCACACAGCTGGCCCTTCGTGTCTGCAACTTCTGCATCTACATATCTAACCGTCTGTGGACGAGAGTATTTGAAAAATATTTTTCCAGAAAGTTCCAAAAAGCACAGCTTGAATTTGCCCATCACCAAGTATTGAATCCATGCAAATGGTGGTGTTACAAGTAGCCCAGCAAGGACTGTATGGACTTGGTGCACATACTCTACCCTTTTTGTAGGGATGTCTTTGGCCTGGACTGTTCCCCATAAATACCAGCTGGTGACTGCATTTACGTTCCAGGAGTCTGTCTTCCATTCTGCTTGGCACACAACAGCTCCCAAAGCTAGGTTAACACAGAACAGCACGGGATCTCACCATTTCACCTTCTCCATTTCCCTCTCTGGATTCTTCCAAAGGCATGGACCTGACTGTCTCCATCTTTGAGCAGGTAGACATTACCCGTGGACTCAGGGAAAACTCAACTGGTTTTCTGCTGGTGCTTGGCGCCCTTCATTAATCCTGGCACCCCTCTGTCCTCTTGTAGAATGAAGATTTTCAGATGTTGTCTCAAGTACCCCCTGCAGCAGCAGATCTTCTTTGTGTTCCTGACCCTGTGGCTGCTGTCCCTGGTGAAGCTGCTGGACGTGAGGAGACTCCTCTTCCCACCCCGAGACCTATACCTTGTGGAGTTCACTTTGAGCACCTCGCCCTTTGTGAGACACAGGTACACCCACCTTAAAGATACAGACAGGGATGAAGTTAACTGCTCAGCTGTCTTCGAACAGGAGCCCCTGGAGATCGGCAAAAGCCTGGAAATCCGAAAGAGACACATCATTGACCTTGAGGATGAGGACGTCGTGGCCGTGACCCGTGACTGCGACATTTACCATGCTCTCAGGCAGTATGACCCCAGACCTGTGTCGAGGGAGGAGAGGCACTTCCCGATTGCCTATTCACTGGTTGTCCACAAAGATGCAATCATGGTGGAAAGGCTGCTCCGGACCATTTACACCCGGCACAATGTTTACTGCATCCATTATGACCTCAAGTCCCCGGACGCCTTCAAAGTTGCTATGAACAACCTAGCAAAGTGCTTCTCCAATGTCTTCATTGCCTCCAAGCTGGAGGCTGTGCAGTATGCACATGTTTCCAGGCTCCAGGCAGATCTGAATTGCTTGTCAGACCTGCTGAAGTCTTCCGTACAGTGGAAATATGTTATCAATCTGTGTGGGCAGGATTTTCCCCTGAAGTCAAACTTTGAGTTGGTGTCAGAGTTGAAGAAGCTCAATGGAGCAAACATGTTGGAGACAATCAAACCCCCCAGCAGCAAGACTGAGAGATTCATGTACCACCATGAGCTCAGGCAAGTGCCTTACAATGCAGCACAGGTACCAGTGAGGACAAACGTCTCCAAGGGGGCGCCCCCGCATGGCATCGAGGTCTTTGTTGGCAGTGCCTACTTTGTGCTCAGTCATGCCTTTGTTAACTATGTCTTCAACAGCTCCCTGGTTAAAGACTTCTTTGCCTGGTCTCTAGACACCTACTCGCCTGATGAGCACTTCTGGGCAACCTTGATCCGGGTTCCAGGAGTGCCTGGAGAGATTTCCAGGTCTGCCCCTGATGTGACTGACCTACAGAGTAAGACCCGCCTTGTCAAATGGAACTACTATGAGGGGTATTTATACCCTAGCTGTACTGGATCTCACCTTCGAAGTGTGTGTATTTACGGAGCTGCGGAATTAAGGTGGCTTATGAAAGACGGGCATTGGTTTGCGAATAAATTTGACTCTAAGGTAGACCCTGTCTTGACCAAGTGCTTGGCAGAAAAGCTAGGAGAACAGCAGAGAGGGTGGATTACTTTGTCTTCAAAAACATCAGTTACAAAAGAAAATCCCACCTGCACATCACTGCAGTGAGACCTGAGGGGAAGAGCTGGGCATCTGGTCTGCTGGGTCATGCAGAGTATCACCTGGATTTGGTGTGAATGGAGTGGGCGAGCTGGGTCAGAGGAGCCTGCCAGGGGCTGCTTGTCCTAGTGCTTGATTTTCCCTGTGGTCTCTCTGAGCTGAGCCAGAGTTGTAGTTGACCCTTCAGTAGCTGCTCAGAAGCTACACAGGAGTGACACCCAGGTCGTGGTGAGTGGGTGGTACAAGGGAGAAGCTGGCTACCCCTCCACTGGTCTCTGGGGACCACTCAGAGAACTTCTGAAGTTGGTGTTTGTCCTGTAAACCACACTTCACAACAGTTTGTGCAGGGATCCACACTCCATCTGTCTTTAGTCTGCTGGACTTTTCCTGCCCTTCAGACTATTTGGAGAGACACCATGAACTCGGAGAGCTCAGGGATCATCCAGGTTCTCAATGCCAAAGCCAAATTTGCCTTTGCCTTGCCCATTACTCATGGGAATTGGGCTGTGTGAGTGGGGGAAGAATAGCCTGGGAAGGACCCACCTTGGCTTCAGGTTCCACAATGTCCTGATGGCAATCACCTTTTTTTTTTTAATGATTTATTTATTTTTATTTGAAAGGCAGTTTTTTACAGAAAGAGAAGGAATGATAGAGAGGTCTTCTGATACCAGATGGCTGCCATAGCCAGAGCTGATTCAAATGGGAGATTATTCCGAGTCTCCTATGTGAATGCACGGCTCCAAGGACTTGGGCCATCATCCACTGCTTCCCAGGCAGGGAGCTGGATGGGAGGTGGACCAGCAGGAACATTAACCATCACCCATATGGGATCCTGCCGCTGGCAGGTGGAGGATCATCCTGTTGAGCACACATTTCTTACTTCTGTGGTCCCTGGGCATAGTAAGAGCTTCCTGGGCATAGGTGGTCCAGCATCCCAGCCTCCGTGGTTTCCTTGTCTCTTCTCCTTCAGGCTTCTTCAAAATGGACTTTCCAGGCACACCTTCCTGGTCGCTTGATGACTTTGTGGCAGTCGGCTTCCAGTTGGGTAGTCTGATCTTGCCCGGAATCTGCAGGTTCCCTCCTGCTGCCTTCAGACTTGATTCTTCCTGACACCCCTGGGTGTGGTTCCTTCTCTGATGGGGAACATGTTTTGCCTCCTGTGTGCTGAGAGTGTTGTTTGTGTGCTATTTATTGATTCTAGACTCCTAAGCTATCTAGAGATTAGGCCAGGCTCTTGGCATCTGTAAATTGTGTGTGGGTACTAGATATTAATAATAAAGAGCCACCAAAACGTGTGATTTGAGTAATGTAGTGTAATATTGTGCATATTTAAAAGCCAATGTTGCTGCTATTTTTAAAGTGTTTTAGTTATTGTAAATTAAATATATGTTTAAATTTGAAAATCTGCCTTCCAGAATGTGATGATATGAATACCTATATATTTTTTATATTTTTCATGGAAAGCAAAATCACAATCTTCTTTGGGAATGTGAAATAAACATATGCTAATGTATGCTACAACCGTCCTAATTAGAGTTTTTTTTTCAAACTTTTTTTCAACTTATTTCTAAATTCCCCCTTTTTAAACCACATTCCCCATTCTAGGAGTTTTAAATAGTTTGCTGTTTAATTTTTGTATTCTGCTGGTAGATGTTAATTCTCTGATGCTATAAAATAAAATGGAATCCACTCACCAGAGCCCTGGAATTTACACGCTTCCCGTTCTTGGTAGTCTGGTTCCTTGCAGAAGTGCTTTCAGTCCCTGGCACTGCTCGTGTTTGAAGACTGATTGGTGTTAGCTTTTCTTCAATGTAATGGACATCCTGTGTGTGTTGCAGACGCTCACTGTGTAACTTGGCCTCCGTGGTTTCCTTGTCTCTTCTCCTTCAGGCTTCTTCAAAATGGACTTTCCAGGCACACCTTCCTGGTCGCTTGATGACTTTGTGGCAGTCGGCTTCCAGTTGGGTAGTCTGATCTTCTGTGCTTGGAGACCCAGTCTTGTATCTCTTTGGGGAATTACTGCCTTTGTGAGAAGCCCCTGGGTGCTTGGGACTAGACTCTGTCTCTAACCCTGTGCTTTGAGGGTGGACAGTCTCCAGGAGTTGGAGACTGTGTGGATACTACTTTGCTGAGCGGAATGCCTGTGAGATCCACTGGAGTTCCCAGAAGGAATGAAGGTGAGTGGTACATAGCAGTGTCTGGAGATGAGGTGCTTGATTCCCATACAGGAAGCTCGTTAGAGTCAGGATAAGTGGATCAGGAAACCCTGCAGGCGAGAAGGCACGGCACGTGGATATTTATTCTGTCCTATGATGCCAACTGCTTCAGCTTTGCTTCAGGGGCAGAGGACCAGAGAATCCACTGAGGCTGGCAGGGAGAGGCCATGGGAGAGGACACCCACCTCAGCTATGACCTCCATTCAGAACAGTGAAGGCTTGCTTGTGGGATTCCCGAAGAGAACCTGAACGAGTACCTTGGGTAGATGTGTTTGATTTTTTTTTTTGTCATTGTTACTACAGAACAATAAAGGAAAATAAACAGAAATTGTATGTTGGAGGTTGTAGTATCCTGATGACACTTAGTTTTAGGTGCACTTAAGTTCTTATATGCAGCTAATTCCTTGTGTGTAGCTAATTTTCACAGCCAAGTCCTCTTTTCATGATAAGTTTATCACAAACCAAAATGCTAGACACAGCAAGATGCTTAAGAGGTCCTTTATTCCAGCAGGGTAGGAACAGGAGCAGGAGTGGAGGAGGGAGAACAAGAAGGCAAACACTCCTGCCATGGTGGCAGGATGAGGGGCTGCCAGGGCAGGGGAGGAGGCAAGATGGAGGAGGTCGGGGAGAGCCAGATGAGCCTGGAAGATGTGTAGGGCATGGAGAATTGCTTGGGAGGGCTATGGGTGGGCCCCAGCAATTGCTGAGGGAGATTATCACAGGTGATGGTAAGTGGGCAGGGACTAGGGGAGGGGCCATGAAAGAACATGGGTGAGGTTTCCAGGTGAGACGCCATGAAGTTACATCTCATTGGTGGATAACCAGAACAATGCAAAAGTAATAGTATGGAGTCCAAAATGGCTGAGACCTTCAGGGCCAGTGTTTGAATTACTCCTCACAGACATCACTGAGTTCTCAGGATTTGCACAAACACACTTTGGCTTGTATCTCTTCCCACTGCCAAGATGTTACAGTGACTTTGTTGTGTGGCGATGTGGATCCTTGTAAGATATTTGGACAGACAGCCACTGAAGCTTTGGTTTTGCCTGTTATGAGTAATGGGTATTGTGGAGTTGTGGGTGCAAGGCTGGGTGGCAAGGATTTACTCTTTTTTTTTTTAAGATTTATTTTTATTATTATTTTTTTTTATTGGAAAGGCAGATATACAGAGAGGAGAGACAGAGAGGAAGATCTTCCGTTCCAAGTGAGCACAATGGCCGATACTATGCCGGTCCAAAGCCAGGAGCCTCTTCCAGGTCTCCCACGCGGGTGCAGGTTCCCAAAGCTTTGGGCCGTCCTCAACTGCTATATTCCCAGGCCACAGGCAGGGAGCTGGAAGGGAAGCGGGGCTGCCGGAAATAGAACCGGGGCCCATATGGGATCCCGGGCGTGCAAGGCGAGGACCTTAACCACTGCGCCACCACGCCGGGCCCGGGATTTACTCTTAACAACAGTAGTGATAAGGGAGTTTCTTAGCTGTTAGCATAACTGCTATATTTGGCTTCTGTAATCGTTGCTTGGCTTTGCCGCATAAAGAACAGGACTGATGTCATGATAGGGCTAAGGTCAGAGAGTAGGCCTAAGTCTCACTTCATTTCAAAGTTGCATTTTCCTCAGAGTGATGGAGGGGCAGAGGGCAACGACCTTGGAGATGGGCCAATCGGGGCATCCGAACGTCTGCAGGCGGAATGTGGTCTGCACTGGTACGGGTTGCACGGGAATGTGGCCTACACCAGTATGAGTTATACACGACCAAGATAAGGACTGCTTGCTGGAGACGTTTTGTAAGTAACTAAGAGGAGATAAAAAGAGTCTGAAAGAGACAAGCAGGGTACGTATCAAGACTCCACTGCGATGGATGAGACATGGACCCTAGCTCGAGCTAGCAATAAAGTTTCTTTGCTTTTGCATTGTTGCATGTGGAACTGGCTCGAGCTAGCAATAAAGTTTCTTTGCTTTTGCATTGTTGCATGTGGAACTCGCCTGTCCGTGGTTCAGGGGTCTTTTGGACCTAACAGTACAGATAGCTCTGTGCTTGGATTCCCACCTTTCCTTAAGTCATTTCTGTAAGGTGCATTTCTTTTCATATTCTTTAAAAAAAAATGTTCCTTACTTTATTTTTCATATAAAGACTTCTTTCTGTTCTCTAATTCAGTGGTTTGTACTTCCAGAATAGTATGAAATTGTAATGGATTTCATCTGTTTATTTAGTTAGGAGTGACACATACTATTTTTAAAAAGACTTACTTTGAGGGTGTGGCATGATAGCATAATGGTTAAGGTCCTTGCCTTGACGCCCGGGATCCCATATGGGCACCGGTTCTAATCCCAGCAGCTCCATTTCCCATCCAGCTCCCTGCCTGTGGCCTGGGAATATAGCAGTCGAGGACAGCCCAAAGCTTTGGGACCCTGCACCCATGTGGGAGACCTGGAAGAGCTCCTGGCTTTGGATTGGCTCAGTTCCAGCTGTTGCGGTCTCTTGGGGAATGAATAATCAGACAGAAGATCTTCCTCTCTGTCTCTTCTCCTCTCTGTATATCTGACTTTGAAATAAAAATAATAAATCTTAAAAAAAAAAAAGACTTACTTTGAAAGCAGAAGGAAGGAAGAAGGGAAAGAAAGAATCTGCCATCCACTGGTTTACTTCCCAAACAGCCACAATGGCTGACGCTGGGGCAGGAGGAAGCCAAGAGCTTGTATCTGGGACTCTCATGTGGATGCAGGGATACATTTGTGTCATCTGCTGTCACTTCTGGATTGGAGTAGCCAGCGCTTAAACCAGTAGCCCATGGGATGTTGGTGTTGGCTTAACCCGCTGCACTACCATGCTGGCTCCAAGAGGCATTTCTGAGAGAGGCTTGACTTCTAAAGATAACAGATTTGTATTGCCCACATTTCACAAATGCTGCCAATCACTGTCTCCAAGAATTGTGTTGTTGGTGCCTACCTATGTGAAATAAATTCTGTGCATTCATCCCAGTTCTCAGAGTAAGAAGGGATTAAAAACATCAAAGGTGTGTTTTGGTGCATGGTTGGGAATTTAGGCTGGTGCTCAAGACGCCAACATTGGAATACAGGGTCATCTTTCAGCTGTGGCTTCTGAGTCCAGCTTCCTGCTAATCAGGATCCAGGGAGCCAGCAGTGACTGATCAGGCAATCTGGTTGCTACTACCATGTGTTCCAGATCCTTGTTTTATATCTAGCCTAGTGCCAGTCATTGAGGGAATTTGGGGAATATACTAGGTGATGGGAGCTGTCTTGCTTTCTCTGAGACTCTAAAAAATAAATTTTTAAATAATAAAAAAGAAGGCCTGGCATGGTAGCCTAGTGGCTAAAGTCCTTGCCTTGCAGGCATAGAGATCCCATATGGGCCCCAGTTCTAATCGCAGCGGTAGGTACCACTTCCCATCCAGCTCCCTGCTTGTGGCGTGGGAAGGCAGTTGAGGACGGCCCAATGCCTTGGGACCTGCACCCATGTGGGAGACCTAGAAGAGGCCATGAGGGACACTTGGGGAGTGACCAATAGATGGAAGATCTTTCTTTCTGTATATCTGCCTTTCCAACAAAAAAAAAATCTTTTAAAAAATAAAAGAAAGTTATGTGATTTCTGATAACTTTAAAAAGTGCATATTGGTTTAGTCAAATTTTCATCTAGTATTTTTATGGTAATATTCCAAAAATAGAATTCACATAAATGTGACTTCCGTTCTAAGTGATATAGGCTGCACATAAATGTATAAGAAAATGCCTGAATTACACAAATTACTCTAATATCAATGGTTAACTCAGGGAGCAAGTCCTTGAGATTATGACAAAAGGTAACATTAACTTTAATTGTATACCTTCTAGAAGGTGTAGTCTCCACGTAGCCAGCTCTGGGCCAAGGCCAGGCGCTACGCATATTCATTGTACCGCCAGGAGGGGCGTGGACGCCTCTGGGAAATGTAGTCTCCTTTTCCCTTGGCCTCGCAGCCAAGACCCTGGGAATGGGCTGCCCGAGTCCCCTGCGCACGCGCTGTCCCGCCCACACGCCATCTTTTATCCGGAAATCCAGATGTTGTGGCCGCGTCTATCTGTTGTGCAGACTCTGGGGTTGGATTCCATGTCCGTAAAGGTCAGGGTGCTGGGAGACGCGGAGCGCCGCGTGTCGGGGGGCCCTGGCCCGCACTTGGGGGAGCAGGGGCGCCGTGCACCCGGGGCGCTGCCACCCGGGCCCTTCAGCGGCGCGCGTCCTGGGGCGGCTTAGCTCTGCCCGGAGGCCAGGCTGCCCGCGGCGTGCGGGACCGGCCTCGGGGCTGCCCGCGGGGTGCGGGACCGGCCTCGGGGCTGCCCGCGGCGTGCGGGACCGGCCTCGGGGCTGCTTGGCGTCGGGCTGGGAGCGCCGCCGCGGGGTGAGCATGCAGACCGATGGGGCGAGTGGGCACCCTGGCTCCTGAGGAGGGTCCCCCGTTCGCGGACGCCCCGCTCCTCTCGGCGGGGTGGCGTTTCGGGCCGCCTGTACTTGTGGCTCCGAGCTGCTCTTGCAGCAAGTGCGCGTCCTTGCCTTGTCTTGCCTGCCGGACGGTCTTGGGTTTGTAGACGTTTCTACAAGGACCTGGTTTGCGGCGATGGGGCATTCTGTGAGGAGGGATGAAGTAGCCGGGTGTGAGGAAGTGGCCTCGGAGAATAGGAATCTCTGAGGAAACACCGACTGACTGCAGGAAAGAGGAAGATCCCAGCTCGGCCTGGCTGCTCCTGTCACCCGGGAGTGACCAGCTGCCAGATTCGGGAGCTGGGACGAGCAGGCCTGCGTTTGTGTGCTGGTCTTCTCCAAGGCTCGCGGGTGTCACTTTTCCCTCAGAGATGCTGGAGGTGCAGCCCTGCACACCTGGCGCCACCGCCATGGCAATGCTCCTCTCCCCTCACAGTTGTCCTGGTGGCTTTGGAGGGTTTGCCTGGGTCTTTCTACCTGATAAGCAGAGTAATGCAGGATCAGTGAGTTGATCCTGTCACATTTAGTGGACGATGCGGTCACCCTAACCTTTTGACAGGCAATTTCTATTTTGCTACAATAAAGTCAAAACTAATGTTTGCTTTTGAGAACAGTTTCAGGAGCTGTAGTCAATCAAAAACAGATTTTTTTTTAAGATTTATCTTTTTTTTTTTTTATTGCAAAGTCAGATATAGAGAGAGGAGGAGAGACAGAGAGGAAGATCTTCCGTCCGATGATTCACTCCCCAAGTGACCGCAATGGCCACTGCTGCACCGATCCAAAGCCAGGAGCCAGGAGCTTCTTCTGGGTCTCTCATGCAGGTGCAGTATTCCAAGGCTTTGGGCCATCCTCCACTGCTATATTCCCAGGCCACAAGCAGGGAGCTGGATGGGAAGTGGATTTGCCAGGACTAGAACCACTACCCATATGTGATTCCAGCACGTTGAAGGCGGGGACCTTAGCCACTAGGCCACTGCACCAGGCCCTGATGTTGTTTTATAAGACTTTCCTGTGAACAGCCTATTCTGTTTTTCTTGAACACTGTGTGTTGATTGTGTGAGCCCCAACAATTTGTTTTTATTTTTAGTAAGGATTTATTTATTTTTATTAGACAGTCAGATATACAGAGAGGAGGATCTTCCATACACTGTTTCACTCCCCAAGTGGCTGCAACAGCTGGAGCTGTGCCGACTGGAAGCCAGGAGCCTGTAGCCTCTTCTGGGTCTCCCACACAGGTGCAGAGTCCCAAGGCTTTGGGCCGTCCTCAACTGCTTTCCCAGGCCACAAGCAGGGAGCTGGATGGGAAATGGAGCTGCTGGGATTAGAACCGGCGCCCATATGGGATCCCGGTGCACTCAAGGCGAGGACCTTAACCATTACGCTATCGCTCCGGGCTCTATGCTTTGTATTTCTAATGTCTGTACTTTGGGGAGTTCCAGGAGAGGTGAAACCTAGCAATAATGGAGTGTTGCAGAGAAGCCAGGGAAAGGTGAAAAATCTGCAGCTTTGAAAGTGTGCCCAGGTTATTTATTGCATGTCTCTTAGGATGATTTATGTTGTTGGGAAAGCTGAGACATAGGTCTTCAGCTTAACGAATGACCATTTGTTCCTTTTGGGGTTTTGATTGACTGGATTACCATATGGATTTGTGATTTGCTATTTCTAGTGGATCCTGGTATCACCAAGCTTGTTTAAGAAAGACTCATTATAAACCTTAGACTTGTTTGGTGTGATCTTGCTTGCCCTGCACAACAGTCTCTTGGTTTTTGGTTTTATCCCAGCTAATATGTACATTGTCCCTTTCTGTCGTGATCTTGCAGTGCATTATGGCTTTTAAGGGCAAGACATACCTGTGCTCTTATTGTGTCCTTTCATTCTCTTGCAGCTGTAGGTCCAGAGTCCCCTACATGTTTCCAAGAACAAATAAAATGAATACGTCTCCCGTAAGTTGCTGATTTATTGCTAAGCTTGTTTTACATTGGAATGAAATTCAGCATCAGTGAAATACATAAAAACAAGCTAACATTGCCATGGTTATGAGACTTTAAGGCCATCTAGGTTGAGTACAGATTGATCTCTGGCCTTTCTGATTCCATAGCAAAAAGATAGAATTGTTAGAGGATTCAGTCTGTCCCTAACAGGAGAATATGTATGGTTCTTATGGGGTCTGAATTTTGGAGCACACACTGTATTGGGTATATGAATGATGTAGTGGACAGTGTTGGAATACCAGTCTGAAAATGAACATTCAGCATTCTGCAGTAGTAATAGTCGCTATATGTTAAAGCACAATTAATTAAGTTTTTCTGGCATTGCTAACATAGTATGAACCCAGATATCTTTGGGAGAAGGCAGCGTTTAATTCACCGACAGAGCTGGGAATGTGTGCTGAGTAGGATGTACTGTAGGTCCCTCCATGGCTCTTTGAAGTTTTCTTCCAGTGCGTCCATGTGCAGGTAATACCAGACTTCTCAGTAGTACTTCCTGCAGGTGTACGCTGTGATGGTAACAGGGTAGTCTTAGTTCAGTTTCACAAGTTTACCAATAACTCAAATCATAGATCTAAATACCTAGGAATATTTGCATTAGTTGCATCTTCTGTCATACTGTTTGATGTTTTCCTTGAATTCCTCTGTGCTAGTGACTTTCCTGGCTTCCTCTCTTCCAGCTTCTTATTGCCAACGTAGCTTACACAGCTGTGCCATCTGGTCTCCCATTCATCTTAACTGCAGTTCTCCTTGGCTAATGTGACCTTCTTGGTCTGACATTGCTAACTGTTTCTCTCATTTGGACCGACCCTTTCCTCACCATTTGGATCATATTTCAACTCCGAGGTTGTTTTGCTGACCTCAAAATATCTCACATACAGCAAATCCAAAATAAAACCACATTCTTCATTTTTCCCTCTTATATGGCGTTGGTGCCAACTTGTTTTGACCCATACCACCAAAATGGGTCTTTTCCTGGACTAACCTTCTCGGGTTTAATCTTATTTGGAGACAAATCCTGCTTGCTATTAAAAAAAATTTTTAAACATTTATTCTAATGCCTGAATGCGAAGTATATAAAAGAGGGTCTTTTGGTGTTAAACAAATACAGTAACTTTCTGTTTTTATGGTGGCTTATCACTCTTGACAAATGTGTATTAGCTCATGATGAAATTTCATTCCCTTCTTAACTGTGCAGGCAGCCAGTAGATGTGGTGACAGTCTTAGTGGGAGAATGCATCCAAGAGTTAATGAGGTGCTTGTGAATGAGACAACAGGAAGATGGATAGGGCACACAGATGCTAATAGTTTATAACTTTTGTTTTTATATTTGATTTTATCTATTGTGTGTATTTACACAGAATTATGACTTGTCATATTTTTAAACATTTATTTTGCTTAAGTGTTGGTTCACTCCTCAAATACAGTGGTCCGAGCTGGGCTGATCCGAACCTGGGAGCCAGGAGCGTCTTCTGGGTCTCCCCCGTGGGTGTGGGGGCCTAAGAACCTAGGCCATCCTCACTGCCTTCCCAGGCCATAGGCAGGGAGCTGGATTGAGGTGTGGAGCAGCCTGGTCTTGAATGGTACTCTAATGGAATGCCAGTGCTGCTGGATAGAGGACTAGTGTGCTGTGTTACCATGCCCTGACACTTTGATTATTTTAAAGTGTCAGTTTAGTGGCATTAGGTATAGTCACATTATTTTGTAATTGTTACCACCCATCCATCTATAGTAATTATTTTATCTTCCCCAGATGAAGCTTCTATATGCACCAAACACCAACTTCCTATTTCCCTCTACCACAGACCATGGCAATCCATGGTCTACTTACTAGCTCTGCAAATTTCCCTACTTTAGGAACCTCATGAGAATGAAATTGTACAATATTTGTCCTTTTATTTAGCTGACTTACTGCATGTAGGATAAGGTTTGCCTGTGTTGTAGAATTTGGCATCATTCCTTTTTAAAGCTCAGTAGTGTTCTGTTGTAGTTATGGTTTAAATGTGTTCTGTTCTCTCTGGAATTTAATCCCACTGTGGGGTGCTAAGAGGGTGAAAACTCAATCCAACTACAGTGTTTACAGGTGGAATGCTTGGGAGGCAGTTGGGGTTGCACTAGATCGTAAGGGTGGGACCCAAGGAGACATTTGTGTGTTCCCTGTCTCTTGCTGTGTGAGTAAGAAGGTCCTCACCAGGTCTGCCCCTTCTCAGCCGCTTGGCTGGAATTGTGAACCAAAATCAACTTCTTTGTGACTTGCCTGTCTGTGGGATTGTGTCAGTAGCAACAGAAAACAGACCATTAATGTTTGCATAAACCACATTGTATTTATTCCTTTACACTCCATGGATGCTTGAATTGCTTCCACTTGTTGGATAATGTGAATAATGGTGCATTCAACTGTTCTAGTCCCCACTTTAATTTTTTGTGTATATCCCCAGGGATGTAATTGCTGGATTATGTGATAATTTTCCTTGTTTCCTTCAGGAATCTCCATGTCATCGTCCATGTCAGTTCTACCATTTTACACTTATATCAGCAGTGTGTTAGCATTTTTTTTGGTAGTGGACATTGCAGTGGGTGTAGAGTGAAATTTCATTATATTTTTCATTTGCACTTCTCCAGTGATTAGTGATATTGAACTTCTCATGTGTTTATCAGCTGTTTGTATATCTTCTCTCAAGAAGTATCTCTTTAAACTTTGGCCCATGTTTCTTTGTTTTGATTCCCTGTTTTGAGTTGTGAGATATCAGTCTCCTGTTAGATTCAGATATTTTTTCCCGTTCTCTGGGTTGTCTTTTCACTCTTGATAGTATTTTTAAAATTTTATTCTTATTTGAAAGGCAGAGTTAGAAGGAGAGATACAGAGAAGTTCTATCACTGGTTCACTCCCTGAATGGCTATGATAGTATGTTTTGTGTCATTTTTGTGTTCACTGCTAACCTGTCCCGTTTAACTTTGTGATGAATATTTCCATGTTGTATCTTTTTCTGTCCTTTTACAGAATAATTAATAATAGTGGTAATAATAATAATAAATAATAAATACCTCAATCTTCTGTACTTTATGTATGGCACTTTTGGATATAATATTGAAGTATATAGATTTTATAATCAATTCTGACATTTTGTGCCTAAGTTATTAGGACTTTTACACTTAATTACTAATATGATTGAAATATGTTCCGTCTGTTGGTACTCATTTTTTGTTTGTCTCATTTGTTCCTTGTTTGCCACCATCTTTTGGTTAATCCAACTTTATTTGCATTAGAAAGAAAGAGGTCCCATCCATTGATTTAGTCCCTAGTTGCCCCCAGTGACCAGGATGGGGCTGGTGCCAGGGCTAGGAGCCAGGAACACATCCAGAACTTCCGTATGGGTGATAGGAACCCAGTAACTGGAGCCGTCACTGCTAACTGCAGGATCTTTAACAGCAGGAAGCTGGAGTCAGGGGCCAGGCTGGGAATGAAAGCCAGGCAATGGGATGTGGGACACGAGCATCCTAACTTCTAGGCCCAGATATTTTAGTATTCTTTTTGGTATCAATCTTTCAGTTCTATGTTATAGACTGAATTATGTTCTCCCAAAGAATTTATGTGGAGACTACATACCCTGAGTGACTATATTTGGAGATGGGACCCTCAAATGGGATGTCCTGTGGGTAATCCCTACACCAAAGTGGTGTGTTTGTAAGAGAGGTGCCAGGGGTGCGAAGGCACACAGAAAAAGCCATGTGAGGACATGCTGAGAACATGGCCATCTTCAAACCTAAAAGAAAAGCCTTGTGTGAAACCAGTTCTGCTAGCAGCTTGTAGCTGGGTTCCACAACTATGAAAATAATACAGTCTCATGGTTTAAACTTTCTAAGCTGTGGTACCTTGGAATGGCAGCCTGGCAAATGAACACACTGCTTGTTTCATAAGTATCTTTGATACATGATTGTATACACTCATTTTAAAAAAAAAATTTGTTTTTTTTTCTTATTGGAAAGGCAGATGTACAGAGAGGAGGAGAGACAGAGAGGAAGATCTTCTGTCTGATGAATCATTCCCCAAGTGACCACAACATCCGGTGCTGTGCTAATCTGAAGTCAGGAGCCAGGGATTTCCTTCCGGGTCTCCCACGTGGGCGCAGGGTCCCAAAGCTCTGGGCCGTCCTCGACTGCTTCCCCAGGCCACAGGCAGGGAGCTGGATGGGAAGTGGAGCTGCTGGGATTAGAACCGGCGCCCAATGGGATCCCAGGCGTTCAAGGCGAGGACCTTAACCATTATGCTATTGCACCGGGTCCATATACACTATTTTTCCATTAAGTGCTCTAAATATTTGCAGTATGAATTTTAATTCATCACAGTATACTTGGGGTAGTATTAAAAAATATAGGGACTTTTAAGTAGAATAGTTATATGTGTGACTTTTTTTTTTTTAAGATTTATTATTTTATTGAGAAGACAGAATCACATAGTGCTGTTCACTCCCTAAATGGCTGCAGTGGTCAAAGCTGAGCTGATCTGAGGCTAGGAAACAGGATCTTCTTCTGAATCTCCCACATGGGTGCAGGGTCCTAAGGCTTTGGGCCGTCCTCTACTACTTCCCATGTCACAAACAGGGAGCTGGATGGGAAATGGAGCTGCTGGGATATAAACTGGCACCCATGTGGGATTCTGGCTACATTTGGCAGAGCATTAGCCTTGAGCCATGGTGCCAGCCCTGGCCAATGTCATTTCTATTATTTTCATACATATGTGGTTTATAGTGGATCAACCTAAGAGGGTCCCATGTGTTGTGATAATCTCTGCTTTAAATAATTGTATCTTTTTCAAATAAATTAAGAGAATGAAAGCATATATTCTGTAGAATTACCTACACACATATTATCATTTTTAGTGAATCCCGATCCTTTCTTGTACATCCAGTTATGCCTGAACCTGGCATAATTTTTTTTTGAAAAGTTATTTATTT